GGGGCGCGGGGCCCCCGCTGCCCGCCGGTCCTCGGGGGCTCTCTCAGCCCCAGGCGGAGTCCCCGCTGGCCCGTCCTCCCCAGCGGTGTCCTTCACCAACGGCGCAGTTGCCGCCGGGTCGGAGAGGGGCTTTCGGCCGTCTGCTGGAGGTCAAACGAGATGGAAATTCAGCCAGCGGCAAAAGGACAAACTCCAGCGCTGACGGGAAGCCTTGGTGAATGTTTAGTACGCTGAAAGGAGTTTCCAAACCTTCACACGGAAAATGTTTGTTGTAAGGGTTCCGCTCAACTTCTCTCCTCCTCTTTCTCACACGATGCTTAAAATAAAGAGTGCTATTTCAGCCCTGAAAAGAGTTACGCTACTTTAAGAGTTGATTTAATTATAGCTCTAGGGTTTTTCACGTAGACTCGTGAATTGCTTTCAAGACTTTCCTTCCGTGGTTAAATGCTAAGCTTTTAGTTGCGGTACCGCGTGGGGTGATCACCACGTTGGTAAATGAAAATGACTGGTGGGCCCACCTGCTCCTTTAAGTTGTGCATCCACCGCCTGTGTCGGTATCTTCTACTGCTACTAAATGACGAAATTATCCAGAGAAAGAAATTTTTCAAAGTAACCTTTTGAAGTGCTGTAATTTCCGTATACTTTCTTGCAACTTTTGGGCAATTGCACATTGTAAGCAGTGACTGCCTGGTCGATTTTTTTCTTAAAAAGAGAAGCTTCCCCACTGTGTAGAGAAGTGAGGGGTTCTTACAGCATTACAGAGGCCGTACGAGTTGCTGTCTCCTTTCTGCCGGATGATGTCATGCCCCAGTTTCCTGGGTACCCGAAGTCCACAGGATGGAATGTGAACTCATTTGGTCTGTTTCTTTCCTCAGATGGCTGGAAAGTGAATGAACCTGTATTTTCTTCTGTGATGGCTGTGTGGCTATGCTCCCGCTGTCCCCATGCTCCCATATGTGACTCAAATTAAAACAGCTGTGTGACATCTCCTCATTCCCGTGGACGACTGCGCTGTGCACTACCTACCCCATCCCGACCTACGCCATCCTGACCTACCCCATCCCTAATGGTATGACCTGTGCTAGCAAAAATGGGAGTTGTGCTTCCTCTCCTCCTTTTCACATCCCCTTTGGCTGTGCTTCTCCCCCTCCACTGGCCTGTGCTGACAGCCTGGCTGGGATTCAGTTCGAAGCCAAGACACGTTTAGGTGTCCACAAGTAGGTGCCTAAATGTGCTCTAGTTTGTGTAAGTTTTCATTGTGGTCAATGGAAATCTTGTTGGGACAGTCACTGGCACTTAAGAGAGTGATCCGGTCACCCTAAAGAAGTCACACCGGCTGGGATTCATCACCTAAACAAAGGTGCTGGTGCTGTTTGGTGGTCTCCAGGTCTGCCTCCGAAAGGAAGATCTTGTGTAGGTTGTGTCATATCTGCCAGCCTCATGTGGCTGTCCTGGATGTCTGGATGTCTCTTTCTGGGCAACTGAGCGTCTCGTGCCACGGCTGGTCTGCTGGATTGCTCTTTGGGGTGCATTCCCTGTACTGACCAGATCTCCACTGGCTTTATGAGTTTAAACAGCTCGTGGCCTGTAGAAAGTAAGCACCGGATCCAGAGGTCCTGCTCTGAACCTGCTAGACAAATAGCAACACCAGCATTACCAAATGGCCCAAATCTGCTAGGAAGTCAGCTGTGTCAGAAACAAAGGCAACTCCGGCCAGTCACTCTGCTTCTTGATGACCAGGCTTGCATGCGTGTATGCACCAAACACCACTCATCTCATTGGCATCTGTCTGGCCTTGTCTTCTTTCCAAATCAATCACTGTCCCCAGCCACACCATTTCTAAACAGAAGCTGGTTCTGCCCACCGCAGTTCTGCGCAAACACAGAGACATGGCAAAAACTCAAAGGAAGCAGAAAAGTACTTGCAGCCACAATGTTGACTTTGTCTTGCACAGCGCAGCCCTACCCCAAACTCCACAAAAAGATCTTCATGCCTGGAACAGGCACGCTTCAATCTGCTCCGAGAGAGTGTATCAGAAACAGCCTGTGCTGTCCTGAAAAGAGACTGCACCTCATGTATCAGGGATGGACAATGGAGTACTTGTAGGGGGGTCACCCCACCCCTTGTGCCTGCTGGCCTTGGCTGTTCATGATGTACCCCTTATGAAGCTTCTCATTCTGATTCTGCGAAGATCTCACCTCATGCAACATTCACCTACAAGGTGATCAAACACATAAATAGGCATCCTCTTGCTGTGGGAAGGGCTCTTTGGGGACAGTGCCTTTATCCTGGGAAGCAGCTTCCTGGATATTAATTAAGGCAAGAAGAGGGAGAACATGTGGGATCAGCCTTGTGCTAAAAAGGGCTTACTCAAGAACCATGCCGGGATGCCCAGAGCAGGGATATCTGAGCCAAGGGATGTGCTACTAAAACAGGATGTCCAATAGATACCTTATCCACCTGCTCCTATCGCAGTCTCTCCAGCCTACCACTGATGTTTTAAGAAAAAGCATAAAATTGTGAAAATGCACAAAAACACACCTGAGGCTGCTGGAACTGAAGCTAGAGAAGACAAGAGAGCACTGGAAATGTGCGTCTAACGAGCCTATGAGAAAAAGAGAGTGCTAAAGAGGGGAAAAAAGTAACTGTTCATTGACTTCTTTCTTTCTCCCCTTTTGCTTCTCTGAAAGAAGTGATTAAGCCACGCTCCAGGATGGCAGCGGCACATCCCATGACAGTGGAGATTGGTCTTTGTACTCAGCATGGTGTGTGTCTCAGGAAAGCTATTCCAGAGCTTCTTTAATAATTTCCAAAGCTCTCGCACAGGACTGGTTCTGACATGGGCTGAAGTGTTGCAAACATCGGTTGGGCAAGGCCTCTTGAGAAAGCATGAGTATTACCTCTCCTTCGTTGTGGTTTCCCTCTAGGAAGTGGGTTGCTCCGTATTGTTCCTCTAGGTCACCCAGCAGAGCTATATGGGCAATGAGCTCTTGGTCTTACTCTGGAAGCCAGCATAGAACAAAGGATAATGAATACATCTTGACTTTTTGGGTTAAATGTTACTAGAAGTAATTTCTGGAGCTTCTGTAGAGGGCTTCCAGTAAAAGGCTTCTTTTGTCACTGCATTTCTTCCTAGAATCTCTGTGGCACGGCCCAACAACTCACATCAGGCATTGCAACATACTTGGTTTCAAAATATTATGGAATGGGCCAAAAATGTCCCGCTCAGCTGCACTGGATGGCTTCTAGAGGAACTTGGGACGCTAAGGCCAAGGGAGCCCTCTCTTCACAGGGGCTGATTCTGACATAACTAAGAGCTGTCACAGACTCCGACAGCCATCTGGCTAAATGTCCCATGTGGGTGGAATTTCTCATGCTCTACCACAAGTATTCCAGGGTGGTCTGGCTCAGCAATCAACTGAGCTGCTAGGAATGGTGGTTCCTGTCAGTTCCCTGCTTGGAGATGTTACAGGAATAACCAGACTTCCCTCTTTGGCCTTTACATAGAAAGGGGCTCTCTCTGCTGTCCTTCTAATGGTACAATGGAGTCTAAACTCAGGCTGGCCACTTCTTATCCAAGAGTGAGAACCCAGAAACAACGACCTGTCTTAGTGAACTTCAGAAGACTGTCAGTGTCATAAACGTCATTGGCTTCTCATACAGCTCATCACCTCCATGCGTGGCTTCACTTTGCTCCAGCTCACTTAATCTCCGAGACATGCTGTGATTGCTTTTCCAGGGCTGAACAAGACGCACTTCCTCCTTGAGCACACGTCCACCGTTGTGGCAGGGGGCTCCTAAGTACACCCCAGAAGACAGAACAATTCCCCATGCTGTTCCTTCACTCCGTAAATCCTTTGGACATCACTCTCATCTCCATCCTAGCGGAGTGGGGATCCTCATCCCTTCTTTCTCCCTCCTGTGTCTTACAAGTATGAATTTTCATTGCAATGCTTCATCCAAACAGACTCAATCCCTTTTGATGCAACTGTATTTCTTTTTTCCTTCATACCACTAATTGTTGTTGGACTCATGGCATTAACTGAAGTAATATCTACTGCTTTATCTCTGGTATAGTGATTTTACTTTAGTAACATCAAAAGGCAAATTATTTTGCTTTTATTAAGAATAATTCACTAACTACTCTGTGCATGTGATTGAGGGGACAGGGAAAAGGATAGTGGCTATCTACAGCCTGTAAATTTTTTTGGGGGGGATCTATACACAGGTTTCTCAAGCAGTACGGCTAGTCAGAAATGTGCAAAAACCCTCTCTAGAAAAAATGTTCCTTCCTTCCCACAGTTTAGTGGGAAGGGGCCAGTGACTACTATCATCCTTTCCAGCTGGTAAGGAACAGTCATTACTTCCCTTAGAATGGAACAGCAACCACACGTGGCTGGTTGAACTCTGTGCTGCTGTTGAAAGCAGATTTAACTTCCTCAGTCTCTGTTCCCTTTCCCATAGCACCCGCACACCATGGTTCACGGTAGAAAAAGTTCATGTCACCAGTATTGCTTAGACCTCCTGGATGCAGTGCCTAGATTCAGCCACGTATCTTTGGCCTTTAGCGCTTCATTTCTACTTGACTGGAAACCATTATGATACTGGTATTATGAGTACTTATTGCCTGTTCTACAGAAATGCTCAGATTCCAACCCAAGAAGTGTCTCAGATATTAGGTGTCACTGAGACTGGACATAAAAAAGGAGCCCTTAGGCCAGAGTTTACAGTCCAGATTAAAAGTACATGGAGCAGCCTGTTAAACAAATAATTGGCTAGGGAAAAGTATCAGATGGCAAAAAGGGTCTGGGAAAGATAATGTAGAAATCTAAAATAAAACAAGTTTTGAGATCACAGTTGGATTTTACTTGCGCATTTTTTGTTTGGTCAGAAAATACAGTTTGGAAAACAAATCCACACGCTAGCTGGGTCTCTTCTCGCCTGACCTGTTAAATTGGGTAGTTGTATATTTTGCACCTGCCATTAAAAAAGTATGTCGGCTGTCACTATGTGAAATATCATAGTATTTTTTAAGCCAAGACACAAAATATCTAGTTCTTAAATACATTTCCCATGAGGAAACAGCTAACAAGTAGTCAACGTGGAGAGTCAGGCATCCTACCTGTCATGGGCAACTACTTTAGAATAAAATCTCTGTTGACTGGAGCAAGTCTAGATGACTGAAGTTACGTCAGATGACCCCCATGTGCATACAGGACGTAAGCATGCCTTTCAACATACATATGCAA